AGGAAACCACGCAATTCATATGGATTACTTTGGCGATGTTTTTTTGCGATTTCAACTTTTTGAAACGTGAACATCATTGGTGAATCTTCTTTCATCGGAGGGACATAAATCTCTCAGATTCGTATTAAAATATCTCGGCTTTTCTTTTGAAGATGAACGAAAGTCTTAAATTGCACTAAATATACTTAAAGTGGTTCCATTTTAACACAATTTCAATATATTAAATATATTACAAATAGATTAAAATCCAACTTAAACATATCTTGAAATACACTTAATATACTTAAAGTTGTTTCAAAATAATACATTTAATATGCACTTAGTATAGTATAATTTAAATATAGTATGTCTGAAAAAGCACAATTTAAATATATTTCTTTTTCACCTGGGTATGCAGGGGACCACGCATACTAATTTTACAGCAGCACAGATTAGGTTTCCTCCCTCATGCACACAATAACACACGACTAGTCTCTATAGGGTAGCCTACTTGCTGACTAAAGTAACATTAGTTACGCTGTTAATAGTACGCACTAAACAAAACGCGAGTTTAGCATACTTCATATGGTATGATCTTCAATAAGTCGACACGCACAGTTCAAAATGTTGAGACAAAAAAATAATCTGTCGTTAAAGTGACAATTGAGAAAACCAGTAGCCTACCACTCACCTCGTGGGTTGATGAATACAAGTTTATCATGCCCCAAAAAGCGTTGAATGAGATTTATCTCCACATATGGTAAGATCCTGCAGTCCACCGTAAAACTTTTCTCTTTTGTACAGTCTTCAGTTTGAGAGGCAGCGGTCAGTGTGAAGCTCCGTGTCAGTGGCAGCGCGTTTGGTCAGGGGAGAATCGGGGGGCGGGCATTTCCAACTCAAGCTCCATGTTCCCAGTGTGTTCAGTGCCACGAGTCTGTATATCTCTCGAGTAGTTTCAGTTTTCCGACATTTAAACTTTCTTATCGCGTGTTAAGTGTTGAAATGTTACATATCTGACGTTTAAAGCTGTTTATTTAGGCCTATTTATGTATTTTTTGAATAGCACTTTGGGGCCATGCCATCCCTAGTACAACAGTTATATCTTTAAAATACAGTTGGTTCATACTGAGTAGGCTATAGTTAAAATCTATTAATATATTGCCTGACATATCACTTGAGACTTACTGATATAAAATTATAGGCTAATTAAACTTTATCTGGAGTAGCCTATAGGCTACTTGTGCACAATGCACATTTCTTAATATTAAGCCTAAAATGTGTTTTAATATCACTATTGATGAGGATTGTATGATCGTTGAATAATATATGCAAGATATTTAAAGTATTTTTCACTATAGGGATTATTAATGTTGTGCACCTATTTAAGACTCCAAACATATTAGTCTTCCAGAAAAAGCATTTTATTTGACATTAAACAGGTTAACCCCTCATGGGTGCAGCCATGTTGAAATCACATGACCAGCCCTGTCAAATGTCTATGATATTGATTTTCAAACATACATTATAGTCATAATAAGCGTTGGGCTAGTTACTCAAAAAATGTTATCTATTACTCAGTGTTGGGGGAAGTTACTTTTAAAAGTAATGCATTACAATATTGCGTTACTCCATAAAAAAGTTACTAATTGCGTTACTTAGCTACTTTTTATGGAAAGTAATGCGTTCCGTTACTTTTGCGTTACTTTTTCTCATCTGGGCTGGGCTTGCTAATTTGTTTTTAATATAAATTCTGGATTGCATGAAGCATAGAATGCAGGAGAAGAAAGCTCAACACTCTTCAGCAATGAAACAAAAAGAAAGAAAAACAAATGTCATGTTTATTTGAAGTAATTTTTGCTTATTAAAATGGCTGAATAGGATCATCGAAGGTCGGCAGCAAAGATATTGATTAATAAAATGGGATTAAATGCATAAAAGATATTTGTGTTAATACATTTAATTATTGCAGGTTTGCATTGCTCTGTTTTCATTCATCTTGAGGAATACTGAAACATAGTGATATACTTTGATACTTTTATACAAAATACTTTTGTGCAAGTGAGATGAGTAAATGCATGTTCACATTTAGTCTAGAACTACAGTAACATCATGTTCACACAGCGCCTCTGCACTTACTCCCGATTTCTCTCAACACGGGGACAGGAGAGCTGTCAGTCAATGAATGGGAAAACAAAGTAACTGGAGTTACTTGTTTGAAAAAGTAACTCAGATATTTTATTGTAAATTCAAAAGTAATGCGTTACTTTACTAGTTACATGAAAAAAGTAATCTGATTACATAACTCGTGTTACTTGTAATGCGTTACCCCCAACGCTGATTACTCATTACTGGTTACTTCTTTGAAAAGTAAATATAACCCAGCACTGGGTTTAAAAGGGACAAACCCAGCTATTGGGTTGTTTTGACCAAGCTATTGGGTTGTTTTGAGTCAATAGCTGGAATTTTTGCAGCCTCTGAATCCATGAAAGTTACAGATAAATGAAGAGTACATTTGGCTCAAACTGGTATGACAAGCCACAATATTTTAAACAACTTCTGTTACTTAATAAAGCAGCAACATAAAATATGCAACAGGGCTCAAGCAGGTACAACCAACCAAACATGTTGGGATTCACAGTAGACAAAGTCTTAGTACACTATTTACATATGACATTGATGTTTATGTCATCCTTTCTTCCTACAAAATTAAAATAATGGCTGTATTTCCAGCTGCTATATGATGTGGCCTTCTCCATCTTCCGATGAATCTAGCTTGCTGCGTTGGTGACAATGATTAGGAAAACTGATAGGGATGATTGAATTTTTGAATTTCAAATCATTAGCGATTGTGGAAAAAAAAGTAATTTGTAACTATTTTGTATGGTAACTGTAATATTATTACTTAAATTTTATTAGTAATTAGTTACATTACTAGTTACCAGGGAAATTACTGTAATGCATTACTAGTAGTTACTGCCCAACACTGGTCATAATAATACATTATTAATTAGAATAATTAACAGCAATAACTAACAGTATTAATTTAGTAATAAAACATTAAATAGTTATAGAAAAATACATTTTAAAGGTTAATTTTTCAGCTCAGCAACAAGATTCCATTTTAAGTATCCTCATGTTTTTTTTTTTATCAAAGCATGTGCTGTGCTCAGGAATTGTAATTATAAAGTCTTCAGTTTTCAAATGTAAATAATGCATCCCTGTTTGAGGATGTTTGCTTTCAGCAGAGATTGCATAAACTACCAAAAGCCTGTGATCAAGATGGCTTTAGTGTTGGTGTCACCATTGGGTCAAAATAATTCATAACCCAGAGCAGTGTTGTTGATGTAAGCAGACCAGTAGATCAATGGAAGTCCTGTAGTTTGTATCCAAGAGTTATGCATGAACATCAGTTGGAAATTGATTGTGATTCAGAACAGTACCTCTATTGAGAGGGAAAATAGCCCGGAAAAACACGCTGATCCATTCAAAAACACTGCTGCTGCTGTTTGAAATGAAAGATAGATTGGTAAAAATATAAAGCCATTTGGGTAGGTGAAGTTTCTAAAGTCATCATGGATTATAAAACAGCCATTTCAGAGATATAACTCCATTGATTGCATTTAATATCAACAGCTAAGAATTTTGACAGTGTGTTTTTGTCTGTCTATTTGTCTGATCTTTTCATCTTTATTCTCTGTTTTTCTCTCTGCTCCTTCATTGTCCCATCAGCTGCTCTATCTTGCTCTTCCCAGAGTAAACAATCCCCTCTGCTCAAGCATGCCAGCTATTTGCTGTGAATAACATGTAGCCTTTGGATACTTTACTTTTCAGATGCTGGTCCCAAAAGGGAGGTAGGGATATAATTTTAGGTTTTTCTCTCCACTTTTTGACTTCACAACAGTCTGTCTTTTCCTTTGTCTCTCTCTCAATCTGTTTCCCCCCAGTTCCCTCCTCTTCCTTTCACATAAGTCCAATAGACTTTATTATTATTATTATATTGTATAATACAAATGCAATAATGAAACAAAATCCACACTTTATTAAACATTTCCAGATACCAAAAACTGTTAAAGCATTTTATATAATATAAATAATATAAGTGTTCATTTATGTAAAGTAAACAAAAATTCGAAATTGCATTGGCAACTAAATGAAACTGAAGTTTAAGCTGAAGCACTAAAATGACTAACTGGAAATAAAAACTAAAACTCAAATAAAAATAAATTGAACAAAAATAGCTATATTTTTAAAATTAAATATTAGTTTAAAAACTAATAAAAAGGACAAAAGCCCATAAAACCGACTTTTTTTAAAGAAAAGGTTCAAATGAAATCTAAAAATAAACCTAATTCAAAATATTAACAAAATGGTAACATTTTATGGTTTTATTTGTTAACTAAAAATTCAAATACTTCTAAAGCATTTATTCATGTAAAAATGTAAATTTGAACACTTATTAAGTTAACACATGATTAAAATAAAATGTTGTATCTGTTAATATTATTTAATGGACATAAGCTTACTTGAACTAACAATAAGCAGTTGTATTTTATTAACATAAAAAATGAATAAATACGAATAAATAAAAATGTATTGCTCATGCATTAACTGACATTAACTACTTGCAAAGTGTATAATCTATAAAACAATCCTCATTGCACCAATCCTGTCCCATGTCTTAAAGCTTTTTGTCTGTACAGGCTTATATAACTCTTCCCTTAAAAAAATCAAATCAAATGAAATACAGAGCTATATGTGTCTACCATATCCATGAGTTTTGTCTTCCTGCGTTCTTTCTGCAGTCTCCCATGATTGTGTAGAAACTGCTGGTGTTCAGACCCGTTAACTGTGATTCCTGTCTTGAGATCAGTGCCAAAAAGGGAACGGATCCAGCGGAGAATTCTTAGCTTATCATGGCAATGTTTACGGAGCTCAGATTTGAGCGATGTCCTACGACTGGCTTTCCTCTATGTATGCTACCTCGTAATGAACTCTGGTTAACAAATAGCGAGTGTTGAAGTTTATAATATCATGTTTCGCTTCAAAAGCTTCAAACAGTCCACAAAGGCATTTAAACATGCGCTTAGTTATTTTCACACATGATCTGATGATGACAAATGCCTTTGAGAAAACAATGTGATTCTTTCTTTCCCACACTTGATGCTTATTCTTGATAGTGAGGGGATTATTAAGAAATGTAAGATAAGCTTGTAATTGAGTGTAGCGTACACATTGTTACAAGTCTAATGTTATCAGAGTTTCCGCTCTCCTGTGCGTTCAGTTATTTTCTGCTTTGGGCTTTTTGTTTATTTCCTTTTTGACTTCAGGCATGTTTGTACTCAAAACTCACTTCGGTCTCATCCTGTTCTTCTTGAGTTGCACTGTTTTAAAAGTGTGTTCGCTCCTTTTACAATATCACTCTTCTCTGTTTAGTCTAGGGACCATCATCTCTTTGTAGAGATACTGATCATCCTGTATTTTCCAAGATGAGAGCCTGATGAGAGACTAATTAACCCAATCCACAGAGATACTGCAGGGCATGTCCTTAAGGGAATAGTTTACCCCAAAATTAACATTGGCTGAGAATTTACTTGCCCCCAGGCTATCCAAGATGAGCTTGTTTCTTTATCAGAATAGATTTAGAGAAAATTACATCAATTACTCACCAATGGATCCTCTGCAGTCGATAGGTGCCGTCAGAATGAGAGTCCAAACAGCTGCTAAAATCATATTAATAATCCACAACACGACACCAGTCAATCAGTTACCATCTTGTGAAATTAAATGTGTGTGTTTGTAAGAAACAAATCCATCATTAATGCATTTTAACTTTAAACCATTGCTTTTGGCCAAAATATGTATCCATGATCCATAATAACGCTTCCTCCAGTGAAAAAGTCCATCCTCT